TGTAGGGAAGGCCACCGAGGGGAGACAGCCCTGAAGAGGAAAGGACAGTGGGTGCTGGAGGGAGGGTCTGAGCAGGGTCAGATGTCCCAGGGCAGACCAGGCAGTGACAGACAGGGGTAGGCTCAGAGGGGAAGATGCAGGCCCATCTCAGCTGGGTGGGGTAGGGACCGCCTGCTGTGGTGGGGATGGACTGTCTTGGGCTGGGCCAGGCCAGGGGCATCAGAGTCCCACCCCCTCCAGCTACAGCCCTGGCCCCCACCTCATCCAGCCCAAGGAGTCCAAGCCTGCGTCCACTCCGGTCTCACTCACCCATCTCTCCCGCCCACAGGGACGAGCGCTGTGACCACTGGATCAGAACTTTTGTCCCAAGTTCCCAACCCGGCCAGTTCACCCTGGGCAATATTAAGGGTGAGTCCTGAATGAGGTGGGCCCTGGGGTTGGGCTTCTGGGGGGGGTAGGGTCCTCCAAGAAGGGGCACAGACCTCCCTGCCCGTCCACACAGATGCTGTTCTGTGGGAGAAGCCCCTGCAGATGGGCCAGGGAGAAAGGAACGGCTCCCTCCTCCCAGCCTGGGCAGGCTGACCCCTCGCCCTCCTCTCCACAGGCTTCCCCGGGGTGCAGAGCTATACCGTGCAAGTGGCGACTACCAACTACAACCAGTTTGCCATAGTGTACTTCAAGAAGGTGTACAAGAACCAGGAGTATTTCAAGACCACCCTCTACGGTGGGTCTTCCCCACCGCCTCGGGGACCCGGCTCCTGGCCACACTGTCGGGGGACAGGCCCACGCCAACCCGGCCCCCCAGGTCCTCTCCAGTGTCAGCTTGCAGTCCCTGTGGGCGGCCAGGGAGGGAAGTCCCCCTGCAGACCCTCCATGAGGAAGGGATCAGAGGTGTTGTTCGCGCATTCAACGATATTCATGGAGTATTTGCCGGCCACTCACTGGCCATCTGGCCACAGGGAGGACCAAGGAGCTGAGCCCTGAACTGGAGGAGCGCTTCATCCGCTTTGCCAGATCCCTGGGCCTCACCGATGACTACATCCTCTTCCCTGTTCCAATCGGTAATGGCCAGCTGGGGAGAGGAAAAGGGGATGTGGGAGCTACCCAGGCCTGATGCTGCCCGACCAGGGAAAGCGGGGGAGGCGGGGCTCGGTCCTCTACTCCAGTCACTGGAGCCCCTGGGAGCCACTTTGGGCTCAGGAAGACCCTGCCCCCCCCCCAAGGATCCGTGGGGCACCCAGGGATCTGGGCCCCAAGGGTTCCTCCCTGACAGATGAGAATTTCAGGCCCAGGTCCAAATTCCCCCAGTGTCCCTGCCCCAGGCCACTTCCCCAACACCCCAGGCCCTAGCATCCTAGACCACTTCCTCCTCACACCCCCTCATCCGAGGCCACCTTCCCCCTCGCCTTGAGGCCGCTCACCACTGACTTGAAAAGTACCCTTGTCTTCAGGCAGCCTGGACTGGGCAGGGGGCTCCAGCTAGGCCACTCAGGGAGCCACTGGCTCCCCAAAGCTGAAGGGCTGCCAGGGTCAGCAGGTAAACAGGCAGGAGGCCTGGGCGCCCGAGCTGATGTGTGGCTGGGCCTCACCTGCCTCCTCTGGAGAACAGGAGTCCCCCAGGTCTGCTCGTCCTCAGGCTCTTCTCCCAGTCCCTTGCCCCAGCCCCCCAGCCCTGAAGGGAACCCCCAGATATGCCTTTGCTGGGCCAGGCTGGGGCCTGGGGTGCCCAGGGGCAGTGCAGGGGTCCCAGTGGGCAGGGGTCATACACACACACACACACCTGCCCATTCTGACAGACTCTCTCCCCCACAGACCAGTGCATCGATGACCAGTGAGGGTGCAGTGAGTATGGCTGGGGAGGGGGCTGATGGGAGCCAGGGTGCAGGCCTGCCTTTGCCCCCAGCCCAGGACTGCTGTTGTCTCTACCTCCCCGTCTCCCTCTCAGGGGCCTCCTGTCTCTCTGCTCTCTGCCTGCATGGGGATGCCTGATGCACGTGTCCACCCATCAGAGCGCCTGGCTACCCCCGGGCGCACTTGTCAGCCTTTGCCCGGCTTGGTGTCCAGCTGTCCCCACCAGCCCAGACACCAGTGACAGGAGAGAGTCCAGAGACCCTTCTCATGGCACTGCCCACCAGCTGCTCTCCGGAGCCCCACCTTGCCTGCTAAATAAACACATGCCCCGGTCCCCAATCTGTGCTCCTTGACCCCTGGGCCACCTGGGAGGAGGACAGGCAAAGGATGGGCTCACATTAGCATCACTCCTGGACCCCCTGTGGTCCTCAGCAAGTGATGGCGGCCACAGAACCCACGGCCAGCTTTGGCTGGACACTTCCTAGCTCTCCACCCACCCCCACCCCACCCCCAGGCCCGTCCCTGCCTTTGAGGGATGCCTAGTCCAACAGAAACACTGATGGGGCCACACCTCATTCCCACACTCGATCACCTGCGGTAGGTGCCACAGCAGAGGCCCAGCCAGGGCCGGGGAGCTGGATGGGGGCTGCGAGGGCGGAGGTGCTGTCACCCTCAACTCACCAGGACTCCTGTGGATGCTGGAAGACAGCAGCCAGGGCAGGAGGGGTGCACAGTGGGTGGGGCAGAAGCACGCCCAGCTTGAGGGTCGCCAGGGGTGGTCCCCTGCCCCTAGGGGGTGGCAGTGTCCATGCTGACCCCATTCAGCATCTCGTCCTCACCCACACCTCTCCTCTATGATGACCTCCAGACCACCAGGGGCAGAGCCGGGGGTGGCAGGGAGGGGGATTCGCTGCCAGGAATTCAGATTCCAGGAGACTCGAGGGCTCCAGACCTGTACCGTCCGCTTGGCTGGGCCCGACAAGCCCTTGTTCACCCACAGGCCGCAGCTGGAGCCCCTCCCTGTCTGCACCACACACAGGAACCCCCTCCCTGGCCTCTTCTTCCGTTGCAAGGTCAGAGGTCAGAGAGGGTGGGGTTCTGAAGAAACCCAGGCTTCTCCACCCACAAACTTGCACACCTACCCCTTCACCCTTGGCTGGGGGAAGGGGAGATACTGGAGCTGTGATAATCCTGGATAATCTCTCTATCTCAAAGTCTCAATGTAATCAAGTCTGCAAAGGCCCCTTTCCCAAATAAGGCACCATTCACTGGTTCCAAGCACTAGGACCCAGATATCTTCGGGGACTGTTATTCAGCCTTCCACGCGGGCCTTGCAGAGGGGGTGATGGCAGGGCTTGTGAGATGAGGGGTGAGAGGCGAACAGCGATGCCAGAGGCGGGGCAGCGCCAAAGCACACCCCCTCCCCCCATCAGGGCTGGCTGGGGTAGTGGCTGTTTTGTCCTGGGGTCTGCTACGTGGACCTCGACCATAGGAGTGGGGTGGGCAGAGTCCAGGTTCGCTTTGGCTTCTGGGAGCAGAGAAGGGGCCAGCCAGGTAGGGGCCTCACCACCTGTGCCACCCAGCTCTCCATCCTCCCACCCTCACTCAGCCACTTGGGGGATGAGGCTTTGGCCGGGCTCTCCTCTCCTTCGCACCAGGGAAGCCTCCCTCTGCCCACACCGCTAGCCCCAGGCCCCGGGCACACGCTCAGGCCCAGGAGAAAGGCCACTCCTTGAATGCTATGGTGGGATCCCGCTGGGGGCTGTGCAGCGTCCTGCAGACCCTGCCCAGTTCTCCGTGGAGTCTGACTTTCAACAGGATAAGCTAAGTGACTCCCCTGCCTGGTCCCCACAATGGGACGGGCACCCCGGGGTCGGGGAGGGGGTACTCTCTGGGGCTGCGTTGTCTCCTTGGGAAAGAGAGGAGCTGAGCGGGGTCAACACTTGGCAGAGGTGTGAGCAGGGCTGAGAAAGGAGGGCTGGCTGATCAGTGAGAGGCCCTCCCTGAGACCCTGGCATTTCACTAAGACAGAAGAGCCCTGTGTCCTCTGATGCAAGCAGAAACACCTGTGTCTGTGTAGCACACAAGTGCGCAGAGACACAGCAGAAACACAGGTCACATATGTGGACATGCTGACAGAATCCAAACACGTTTATCCCTACAAGCATAGGACACCCAAAGAAAAGCCCAGGCGCATGTTTTCTCCCAGTTATGAAATCACACCTGAGATCACAGGACCGCACAGACGAGGGGAGAAACACAAAGACTCCCAGGCACACAGGGACGGGCAACAGACCCTCAGAGACACATACAGGTTCTCAGAAACATGCCGACGCACGTACAGATACACACCACACAGACACAGCAGTTGGATGCAAGCGCTCATGCATGCAGCCTGCATGGGGATGCCTGATGCACGTATCCACCCATCAGAGCGCCTGGCTACCCCCGGGCGCACTCCCATCACCCTCCCGAAGCCAAAGACTCATCCCTCTCCAGGAATGGCCCAGGTGCCATCTGCCACCTGTTCCATCCATGGGCCTAGTACCTTTTTTTTTTTTTTTTTTTTGGCAGAAAATTTCAACTTTATTTGGCCAGTGTGTCCGGTTCCAGGTAGTGGGAAGCAATAACAGAAATATTGGGGTAGCCCCAGGTGGTGGGAAGTAAGTGGATGCCTGGCTGGAGGAGGGCAGCTGGGGGGATGGGAGGGAGGGTACCCACCCATTATAAAGGAGGGTCAGCTGACCTGGGTGAGGGGTTTTCACTGCAATCCTTCCTGCACTGGTTCAGCATGGGCCTTGCCTCCACTCAACCTGCTTCAAAGAGAAGGTGGGGCTGCCGTTATCCAAGTCAGTGGTGGCTCACAGTTCCTCAGTGAAACGGTAAGGCAGCTCCTGGGACAGAGAAGATCCCTTCCCATTGTCATCATCGGTAGCTCTGTCTGACCGCCACCCAGGGATGGCCTGCTCTCAGGAACTACCAGTGTGAGACCAGCACCAGGCTGCAGCAGCCATGTGGCCTCCTCCAGGAGGCCCAGCTACAGGAGTCCCAGTAAGTGAGCCCCTCTCCCCTGGATATGGGCCTCACTCAGCTGTATCCCTGGCCAAGATCACACCTCTGGTTCCAGCTCAGGAGCGACACTTTCCGGCTGGGTAACTTTGGGCAGGGTCCCCTTTCCCAGCTGGTAAAAAGGGTGGGGTATGATGGCAGCTGGGCAGACTATCCCGAAGCCTTCCTTGACTGACAGCCACAAGCTGCACTCTGCTGACCGTGACTCTCAAGTAGGCTGTGAACGGATATCTTCCCTGCACACTGGGGGCCTCGGAAACAACTCGTCTCAGATTTCTCCCATGCAGAGGCGCCGGCTAGCTTACCCGCAGGTCCCCAGCAGCAGGATGGGGCAGAGTGGGGGGGTCCCAGGCTGCCCTGCCCTTGTGCCGGGTTGCTCGACCTGAGGGCAGAGCCCCCACCGCCTAAGATTCTCACGGGGTGGTCCAACCCTAAGATTCTCATGGGGTGGTCCAACCCGGCCGCCGGGAGAGGGGCGGGCCCGGGGACCGGCGGAAGTGGGCGGAGCGCGACTGTGAGGCAGGGTGTGGGCGGGGCTCGAGTCTGGGGGCGGAGTCTTACGGACGGGAGGGGACGGGGCTCTGGCGGCGGGGCAGGGCGGAGCTCTGGCCGCCGGGCTCCGCCTTGGGGGCGGGGTCCCGGCCCACCGGGCGCGTCCCGCCGCGGCGTTCCGCCCTTCCGGCCCCGAGTTCCATCCACCGCTTCCCTCTTCCGCCCCGCGCCGGTTGTCGGCGCGACCGTTACCGCGTTCAGTCGTCGCGCTGCCCTTGCGGCGCCCGAGCCCACAATGTCGGGCCCCAACGGGGACCTGGGCATGCCGGTGGAGGCGGGCCCGGAAGGCGAGGACGACGGCTTCGGGGAAGCAGGTGACCCAGGGGGGCTGCTGAAACGACTTTGCTTTCTCCGGGGTGCCCTCCTGGGAAGGGGAATCGGGGCCGGGATAGGGACCGGGAAGGAACCGCAGAGCCCTCCCATCCCCCCGCCCCAGGGTGGTTCCGGAGCAGCAAGCGCCGTCCGGAGGTTTGGGACGAGCACCTGCGAGCGGGTCCCTGGAAACCGCAGCCTTCGAGAACTGTGGGCGACAGGCCCCGTTTTACAGATGGGGAAACTGAGGCCGCTTCAGGTCACTCGCCCTTTGGGATTGGGATTTGCTCCAGACACTTCTTTCAGCCCCTGTGGAGATGGAGACTCCTAAGGGGCCGGGGCCGGGAGTGGACCGTCTTGGCTTGGCAGGAGGGGCTATCTGGGTGGGCGTGCCGCCCTGCTGAGTCAGCAACCCCAGGCACCTTTGCTGGTGTGGCCTGGAGCCCTGGCGAATGTGACTTGCTTACAAAGCAGCCTGTTGCCTTCACAGCACTGCAGGGGCTGGGGGTAGGGGGGGAAGGAGAGAGAGCCATCAGCTCCCTTCTCCCCTTCTGGAGCCTCAGTTTCCCCACCTGTAAAATAACAATAATGGTTAGTGTCTCCCGCATTGAGATGTATCAGGATTAAATGAGAAAGTGTATGGAAAGTAGTAGGCTTCAAGCATGCAAGTGTCCTGTAAGTGGTTATTATTCCCTTTAGTGTAATAAAATTTAGTTTATTAACTTAGAGGGCAGGACTTAGTAAATGTGGGGTAAGTTTGGAGTCTGCTTTTGGTTTTGTTTTGGGTAACAGCTTTATTGAGCTATAATTCACACACTGTACAATTTACCCATTTAAACTGTACGATTCAGTGGGTTTTAGGATATTCACAGAGTTGTGCAACCATCGCCACAATAGTTTTAGAACACTTCATCACTCAAGGTCTGCATTTAATAAAGAGGTAGAGTAAGTGGGGTAAGTGGTGGGCTGCCCAGTTTGCCTGGGGCACTGCTGGTGAACAAAGGCCAGGTGTGGTAATCACGCTGGCAGCTGTGCTGGGGGCATCTGGAAGGGTCTCCCAGGAGTCACACTGAGTGGAAGTTGGCAGATTCACAGGACTTAGGGCATTGGGGAGGAGGGTGTCCCCGATGGAAGGCGAAAACTTGGAACCAGGAGGTACCCGTGACACTTGACGCAGACAAAGCCTAGCCCCAGTAGTGGAGAGAGCTGCCTCCCCCGTCTCTCTCCCCACTTGTGTCTCTTGACCGGAATGTGAAATCTTGATAATCGCGACCATCTACTAAGTGCTTGCTGTGGCCAGACCCTGAGTTCTTGATATATGTATTTAAATCTTCACAATAACCCAGTTCTTATTCCCTTTTTCCAGAAAGGCGTAGTAACTTGCTGGGATGGGGCAGAGCTGGGACTGAAACCCAAGTGCCCCTGCTCCCCAAGTCTGAATCTTGGCTCTGCCACCAACCAGGTGGAGGACCCTAGGCAGGTCTCTTCCTTCTTGGGCCTCGGTTTCCCCATTTGTACCACAAGGGAGTTGGACTCCAGGATCCAGCAGAGGCTTTCCAGGACTCTGTCCTCTGTGAGTTAGGACAACTCTGGGCAATGGGTACCCTTCCCCCAGAATGCAGACACATTTGCACCCTTATCCCAGACACTCTCCTCTAGCCTTGGTCGTTTCCACACACCGCCAGCCGCTTCCCCTTTGTCCCAAGCTGGCAGCTGAGTGTATCTGAGTCATGGGCTGGCTCAGAACTGGGTCCCGCAGTGGGCACAGGCCCAGACCTTGGGTCCTAGGGGACATTGTGTGGCTGAGAGAGGCAGGTCAGAAGTGTCTGTGGAGGAGGGAGTGACGGTTTCTGGTGGAGACCAGGGAAGGATTCTTGGAAGAGGAGGCATTTGGAGCTGGTCCTTGAGCGGCTGAGGCATTCTGGATGGCAGGGGCAGTTAAGGAAAGGCAGAAAGCCTGGAACGTCAGGCTTCATTCATTCATCCATTCATTCATTCAACAGATGCTTACTGTGTGACACTGAGGGCACTGGGGAAACAGCAGTGAACATAAGACCATTCCACCTCTCACACAGCGCTCACTGTAGTCTGGTGGGGGAGACAGACTAGCACACGGTCACAGCAGCCGAGCCAGAGGTGGGGGCCGTGGAGGTGTGAGAGGGCAAGGGGATCAGGAATAGAGGCCGGATCAGGCTGGGGCGTGGGAGGGCTCCCTGTGGCAACATCCACGCTGACACTTGAGGGATGAGGGGGGCTCATCCAGGAGGAGAGGAGGGAAGGAAGACAGAAGGAGGACGCGGCACATTCCAGGCAGAGGCCACAGCATGTTCAAGGGGCCTGAGGTGGGCAAAGGCAGGTGTGAGAGAGGAAAGGAAAAGGCAGGGGAAGTGGGGCTAGAGAAGGGAGCAGGGCCTTGGAGTCTGCTAGGAGCTAGGGCAGGGGGAGCCAGAAAGGGCTGGAGAGTGGGACCTGCCTGGGGACAGAGGCCTTGATTGCCTGGCTCAGGAGCATGGGCTCTGGCCTCTAGGCAGCTGATGCAGGAAGTAAAGAGGAGACCTGGCACCTGGTAGGAATTCCCAGGCAGGACACTGTCTGGCTAACCTCCCTGTGACCAACCTAACCCTAGAAAAAGCTGGTGCACTAAGGTATTTCTCCAAAGCCTTTCCTCCTTTGATATCCAGCCATTTTCCAGTTGGTGACAGTGAGCCTCAGGAAGGAGTAGGGACTTGCCCAAAGCTCTTTAGAGGCAGGCTGGGGGACAGTGGCAGTGGGGGTGTGTGTGTGTGTGTGCCTGTGATCCCTGAGGAGATATGGGACCTTGACTCCCTTTCCCCTTCCTCCCAGAATACGCTGCTATCAACTCCATGTTGGACCAGATCAACTCCTGTCTGGACCACCTGGAGGAGAAGAATGACCACCTTCACGCCCGCCTCCAGGAGCTGCTTGAATCCAACCGGCAGACGCGCCTTGAGTTCCAGCAGCAGCTCGGGGAGGCCCCCAGCGATGCCAGCCCCTAGGCTCTGGCAGCCCCTGGCCAGGCTCTGGCAGCCCCTGGCCAGGCTCTGGCCTGAGCACTCACTACCTGGCTTAGATACCTTCTCAAGGGCTGGCCTACAGATTTTCCGGGGCAGGGGAAGGTGGTGTCTGCCGGCCTAGGCCACTCTTCTGGTACTTCCCTTGGCGTACCTAGGCCCGCCCCACCTCCCGGCACCCCCTCCTCAGGGCTTCCTCCCCACTGCTGGCCAGGTGTGGGCCAGCGACCCACCCACCTTGCCTGTCTGCCCAACTCCTGGACGCTCCCCACGCTGCCCAGGCCTTGAGCGTCCACATTAAACTGGTCTCCAACACCACTGCCTCCTCTCTCCTCTGTATCCCGGGATGAGGACCCCAGTGGCCGCCAGAGGTAAACAGGGCAGTGGAGGCATCCCAGGCATAGATCACACACCGGCTCACGGGCCTGGTGGTGGGGCCGGGCTTCTTGGCCTTCTTGTATTTCTGGACACAGAGGTGCAGGTGAGGTCAGGGCTTCCTCCCCACCGGGTGTGCTCCTGGCCAGCGGCTGCTTCCCCAGCCCAGATGAGACAGCATCAGCCATGCTGTGTGACCCTGTGTGATGTGCTCAGCTTCTCTGGGTTCTAGGGCCTTTCACTAAGACAACCGACACCAAGACATGCTGTGCAATATGTATAAAATAGATAACTAATAAGAACCTGCTGTGTAAAAATAAATAAAATTAAAAAAAAAAAAAAAAACATGCTGTGCAATCTTGGTTTCCACCCTCTTTCTCCTGGCCTCAGTCTCTCCAGCTGGCCAATAATAGAGCTGGTCTGGTTATCTTGTCTCTAAGGGTCTTTCCAAATGGGGAAGTGGAACTAAAGAGCCAGCTCAGCCCGGGCCCCACTCACTAATGATTCATCATAAGGTCTCCTGACAAGAAGGGTGGGGTCCCCGCTAATGAACATGAACTTGGAACCAGAGGGCCTGAGCAGCGAGGGCCCCCACTCCTGCCCTTCAACTTCCGTAGGGTCCAGCTGGGAGAGGCCAGGACAGGGGTCCAGAGTTCAGGCTCGGGATCAAATTCTGGCCACTCAACAGATATATGACCTCCAGCAGGCACCTGACCTTGCTAGGCCTCAGTTTCTTCATCTGGGATAATAGGATAATTTGGGGATAACAAGACCTACCTCCTATGGACATTGTGAAGATTAAATGAGATCTTACTTGAAGGTAGTACTTTCCTAGCCTGGGTACATTATTAAGAGGGAAACTGAGGCTCAGGAGGTGAAACACCTCATAATCCCAGAGTCCCTGGTTAGGGAGCCTGTCTTCAGCTTTCCAGTTCTGCCACCACAGTACCCACAGGGGCTGGGTGCTGACTGAGAGCTAGCTGGGGGCCCCCTTTCCCTGTCCACCCAGACGGAAGTGCTGGTGGGGACTAGACAGCCAAACTACCTTCTTTTATTGGATTTTGAGTAAAAACACCAACCATGTCACGGTCTCCACACAGACTCCTAAAAAGCGTAGCAGATCTAGACCCAGACAGGGCAGCTGTGGGCCGCTCCCTCCATCAGGTTTTGAGGCGGCTTGAGCGCCGGGGTAGTGGGTGCTGAGCGGGTTGGGCTGTCACCTTGCTGGGGGTTTTGGCTGTGTCCTGGGTGCTGGGCTGCGTGGGTGTGCGGCCGCCGGAGGTGAACAGAGCAGTCAGGGCGTTCCGGGCGTTGATTGCACACCGGCGGCTCACGGGCCTGGTGGTGGGGCTGGGGTTCTTGGCCTTCTTATATTTCTGGACACAGAGAGTGCAGGTGAGGCCAGGAATCCTCCCCACCTGGTGTGCTCCTGGCCAGAGGCTGTTTCCCCAGCCCAGTTGAGACAGCGTCAGACATGCTGTGTGACCCTGTGTGATGTGCTCAGCCTCTCTGGGCCAGAGCTCTAGAGCTAACAGCCCAGCCCTCAGCACCCACCAGAACAACTGCAGAGAGACATTGGCCCCAACGTGGCTCTGATTCCCTTTGTGGGCAGAGCCTCTCACTGGGGGCTGTACCCAGGGGCTGAGGCCAAGCACAGGAGGGAGGTGGCCACTGGCTGTCCCCGTCAGCTAGGACACAGTCTTGACTCCCTGGGCAGGGCAGAGCCGGGCAGGGGGCCTGACTCACCTGCAGGTTCTCAAAGTGGGCCAGGGACTTGCAGTGGGAGAGCTGCGCCCCTGAGTTGCTGTGGTAGAATTTGTGACAGATGCGGCAGATGTAGCCCATCACGGGCACCAGGAAGTCCACACCTGTGGGACAGCAGGGTCTGTGCACTCACATGCCTCACCAGCCAGGTGTCCCCCCTTCTCTAGGGGCCCATTTGCCACCCCCCCCCAACCCTCCAGATGGGAAAAGAAAAGAGGACGATGGGACAGGCTGCCTGGCCAGGATGCTGTGGCTGGTATCTGGGGGGTAGCCTGGAGGCAACCTGAGGGCCGCAGCTCCTGCAGGTGGGGTCAGGGCTGGGGTCTTACCATATGCCGTGTTGGGGCTGTAGGTCTCCGAGCCTTTCCACTCCTCTATGGATATATCTCTGGATCTCACCTGGAAACACACAGGTGTGGGCCTCCATTGGTTCTGGCTTCCCCTAGCCTCCTCCTAAATGCAGGCGGGGACTGGAACCCACCCATGCTCTTCAATCAAGGAACCCCCCCTTGATTTCCAGGAGGTTGTGGGTGGCATGCTCTGAGCCTTTGCACATGCTGATCCTGTCCCCCGAGTGCCTTTCCCAATCTATACTTTCCAGGTTCAGCTCAATCAGTCCCCTCCTCCAGGAAGCCCTCCTGCTCCCACACTGGCCATAATCCATGCCAGGTATGCCCAACACATCACACGTGTCATTTCGCTGAATCCTCATAACAACTTTCCATGGTTTGCCCATTTTACATAAGAGGAAACTGAGGCCCAGGCACATTAACTCACTTGCCCAGGGTCATACAGCGGGTTTATGGAGGTGCAGGGTAGTGAGCCCTGGTGAGCCCCCAGCCCTGGTTACACTCTGCCATGAGCCCCCCGCCAGCTCCCTAATGCTGCAGCAACCACAGTCTTAGGGGGTAGGTTTCAAGTGATCAAGGATCCCTTGTCTCACTGGCTGGACATGAGCCCCTTCCAGACAAGGCCACGCCTAGCAGTGCCTTGCAAACAAATCTGGCTTTTAAGAATAACCACCACCCCCTGGGCTGTGACCCTTCCTTGCAGTCTGAGTTGGGACTATTCTAAGCAGAGGAACAGGCTTATAGAGGCCAAGGGGCTTGCCCAGGGTCATGCCACTGCTGACCGCTGAGTAGCAAAGCTGGCATCTCCCCCAGACTGCTTAGGGCTGGAGGCCACCCATGCAACCTTCCAGCCACAGCCCCGTTATGCACCGGCCCCTGTGGCTGCCCCCTCACCACCCTGGACTGTAACAGACAAGCTCTGTGAAGGCAGGGGCCGGGACTTCATCCCCAAGTACCCCTGGTATCCAGCACCAGGGCCTGGCCCAGAACAGATGCTCTGGAAACACTTGTTAAACTGAAAAGCTCCTCCAGCTCCTTGCTCATGGGAAACAGCAGAGCTGGGGTATTTTGAGCACGGGCTCTGCAGTCTCACCTCCTGGCATCCAAGTGGGTGAGATTCTGCCAGGAAAGTGCTTGGTACACGCGTGGCATACAGTAAGTGCTCAAAAAATGTTCACTGCTCTCGCCATCATCCTCATCATCATCTTTCACTGACTTTTCCTGTATGCACCACATAGCTCCCCTCTCCATGCCGTGTGTGTGTGTGTGTGTGTGTGTGTGTGTGTGTGTGT